GCAGCCCAGGCGGCCCGGCGGGGCACGTCTGAGCTCCTGCACCTGGGAGGAGGGCGGCTGTTAACCAGGCTCAGCTGAGCGTCCACGCAAAATGCAAAAAAGACATTTGCTGGCAGGTCTCTGCTCAGACCGCTGCCTTTTCCAGGCTGGAGCTTGCCTCTGGTGGGCCAGGACTACCTGGAGATCCTCTCTGCCTGGTACTGCGGCTTCGGCAAGTGCTGCAAGACAGGAGACTGCAGGATAGTCAACAACGTCACAGGTAGGTGCTGTGCTGCGCTTGGGAGACCCCAAGCAGCGCTTGTCTCTGCTGCCTCTCCCTCTTGTCTCTGTTGTTGTTTGTGGGTTTTTTTCTTTTTTAAAAAAAGTGTATTTTAGCAAGCGATGTGAGTAAAGGGCATTTCTGAGCAGGGTGCTGAGCTGGTGGGAGGGTGAGGGGCTGACCTGAGTCCTGTTTCCCATTACTCATTTGTAGCTCTGAGACTGCGTAAGAGTTCGCTCCTTACTGTACAGCATATCTGCTCCAGTTTGCCGCAAGCCCTGCCTTCATCCAGTAGCCCCCAGGCACATGCAGTGGGATCTAAACTGGCCCAGTATCCAGCCCCAGGTCGGGAGGGTGCACCCAGAGCTGCATGTAAGGCCCACACAGGTGTCACTGCACTTTGCTGGCCCCGAGACTTCTGGTACCCATACCCTCTGCTGGGAGCTTGTGAGGGCCTGTGGGCTTTGGTGCTTTCCGCAGTCGTCAAGTATCTCCTCCGCTTCCCAAAGGAAAACAGGAGTCAGTGGAAGATCTGTGTCTTTTTGCGGTGAGTGGCTGATGCAGGCAGGGTACAGGCAGCCCGCCTCATTAACCCTGTGGCTTTAATGCCACTTCAGACTCCTCTCGGGCAGGCAGCCCCACCAGCAGGGCTGTGTGAGCTGAGTGCCCTGCCACATTATCTCTTCTTATTCCCACCTGCAGCAGCAGCAGCTGGGCTTGTGAGTTAAAGCTGAGCTCTTGCTCTCTCCTGCAGGGCTGGAAGCAGACCTCAATGGGCAGCTCCATGGGCAGCACTTGGCCAAAGAAGTTGTCGTCCGGGCGGTGCAAGGGTTCTTGCAGACACCACAGCCGCAGAAGGCTCTGGTCCTCTCCTTCCATGGCTGGTCCGGCACAGGGAAGAACTTTGTGGCCCGGATGCTGGCCAGTCACCTGTACCGGGATGGGGTGAAGAGCGAGTGTGTCAGGGTGTTCATCTCGCTCTTCCACTTCCCCCATCACAAGTACATGGAGTCATACAAGGTGAGAGCCAACAACATGGTGTTGCTGTGGGGATGGTCCAGCGTACTGGGTCTGGCTGGGATGGAGTTAATTTTCTTCACACCCATAGGGTGCTGTGTTTTGGATTTGTGAGTAGAACAGTGTTCATAACACGCCACTGTTCTGGCTGCTGCTGAGCAGTGCTCGCACAGCCTCAAGGCTTTCTCCTTCTCCCGCTCTGCCCCCGCAGTCAGTAGGTTGGGGGTGCGCAAGAAGTTGGGAGGGACACGCGCCAGACAGCTGACCCCAACTGACCAAAGGGATGTTCCGTGTCATTTAATGTTGTGCTCAGCAATAAAAACTGAGGGGAGAGGTTTTTGGGGTAGGAAGCCATTGCTCAGAGACTGCCTGGGCATCAGGGGCAGGTGTGAGCGGTTGCCTTTGCATCGCTTGCTTTGATTTCTTTCTTTCTTCTTCCTCTTTCTTTTGCTTATTAAAACTATCTTGACCCGCACATTTACTTGCTTTTGCTCTTCCTGTTCTCTGCCCTGTCCCACTGGGTGGGAAGGAATGAGCAAGCGCTGTGCGGTGCTTAGCTGGCAGCCAGGGTTAAGCCACCGCCTCCAGGCTCACCCTCTGCACGATCTCCTGGTGGTGGTGACTGCTGCTGGCCTTCTCACACTCCTCCCTGCTGCTCTGCAGGCTCAGCTGAAGAAGCAGATAAGCGAGACTATGCAGCTCTGCAAGCAGTCCCTGTTCATCTTCGATGAGGCAGAGAAACTTCATTTTGGCCTCCTGGATGCCATCAAGCCTTTCATGGCTCGCAATGACAATGAGGGCCAGGTGGACTACCGGAGATCCATCTTCCTCTTCCTCAGGTGATTTTTGGGTGCCCAAAGGGATGGGGAGGAACAAAGTAATGGAATTTATCCTCTGAGGTGTTTGATGTGAGGGGCTCAGGCTGCAGAGGAGGGGAAAGAGATGTCTAGCTCCTCCAAGAGGTGGTTACCTCCATGGTCCATTTTGCTTATTGATGCTGGGCATCCTCCCTGAGTACGGGGCATTTGCAGGAGGAGCCGAGGCCCAGCTTAGCTGGGACACCTGAGCCAGCGTCTAGGCTTTGAGACAAGGAACCAGTGAGAGTCAGAGCTAGCGTGGTGTCACCCTGCACCCGGGACAGCTGAGCAGGGAGATCCCATACTCCAGGGAGCAAAGCTGGGGCTGCAGGTCTTGGTGGGAAGTTCTTTTACCGTGTGGCACTGTTAGTTGGGAGCGGGAGGCGGGGAGTTCCCGCTGCCTGGCTGTAGCTGCAGGCTGAGGTGCTGCCCATCTGCTGTGCTGTGAGGGCCGATCCTGGCATCGGCTCACCCCGTGGTTTAGTGATTGGAGGTTGGTTCCTTTCCCATCCAGAGGGAGAAAAGTTTTTGGCATGTGCATACCCCAGCGCTGTCCCTGACCCGGGCCTAGGCGGGACGCATCTGGGGGGAGAAGTGGGACATCTCAAAACGGAGGTGTGAGGTAGGCACGTGCCTGAAGTAGCCAGCGAGAAATGCCAAGGAGAGACAAGCGTCTTGGGCCCCCTTCAATTTAGGATTTACAGCTTGGCTCTGGCAAGAGGTGTTCCCACAGGCTGGAGGTGGGCAGAGCATTCATTCTCCATCTCCCACCATCCAGGCGAGTGTTCTGACCTCCAACCTTGCTGGTTCCCCAGGGAAGTTTCTCTGCCTGTATCTGTGCCGGGTGTTTGTGGAGCTGGCCACGTTTCAGTCCTACCTGCGTGGGCCTCCAGCAGGAGCCATGGTGGAGGGGGCAGATTCTCCCGTGTTGCTCGGGGCAGGGTGGACATGCTGCCGGCGGCACTGAGCTGACCTTGTGTCCTATCTGGCAAGCCGTGCAGGTGTGGGAGGGTGACATCAGCCCCTTTGTGCCACCAAGCAGAGGGGAGCAGGGTGCCTTGAACTGCAGCAGCATGTAATCCTGGGTGGGGTTTCATCATACCTGGTGGCAGGGTGACACAGACCTGTGGTAGGAGGGCTGGCTCAGCCCCAGGGCTCCCTTGGACACCGGCCTGGTCCTGCAGCTTCAGCCAGGTTTGGGGGATGGGGTGGGACTGGCTGACTGCCCTCAGCCAAAAGGGGCTGTTTCTCCCATGGGCTGCCACTTGAATCCCTGCCCGGGACCTTTACTTCTAGTGGGACTCCTGCCATGTGCTCTGCCCTCCAACTTGGACTTTCAGGGTTGGCTTGTTAAGGGTCTGGCGTGGGGCCACGTGTCACCTGCGAGGTCGATGACACCCAAGCCAGGACAGGGGACTGATGGAGACGGAGGATTCTGTTGGCTCCTGGTCCCCCCCTGGGAGAGGAAGCTGCTGCCCCAGGGTCTGGGCTGGCAAGATGGAAGATAGCTGTATAGATGCCTATAGAAAGGGGCTCTTTGGCAAGAAAGCCTCTGCGAATGTTTCGGATGTTGGTCCTACACGGTAAACCCTTTGTTGCTAAGAATTGCTGAGGCCTGTCTGTAGGGGAGGCTGCTGGCAGCTCCAAGCAGTTCATCTCTGGGGGCACGGTTGAGTGACTTCCCTTCTGTCTGCAGCAATCTCGGTGGCAACACCATCAATGAGGTAGCCCTGGACTTCTGGCGAGCTGGCCGGGCGCGGGAGGAGATCTCCATGGAGTTCCTGGAGCAGCGGCTGCGGCTGGAGCTGCTGGAGCCTGCAGGTAAGGGCCGGGCTCGCTTGCGGGATGCTGTGGGCAGGCTGCCTGCAAACCTGCCCCTCCACGCCAGCTCGGGGCCTTGCTTACGCAGTACCACACACCTCGTGCCGCACAAGTGTGTGCGCTGTGCAACAAGCCTTTATTCCAACACCCGCCCCAGGGTTATTTATTTGTGACGTGAGCCCCTTCCCTTATCCACATAAGCACAGCCCCGCAAGCACAGCAGCGCTGCTGCAGCAGCGAGGCACGCGAGGAGGGAGCTGTGACTCCTCCTTGCCCCTTCAGCCCTGAAAATGGCCAGGTTGCGAGAGGCAACTTGGTACTAACACCGTAGGGAAGTGTCGAGGCTTCTCTGGGGATCTGGGCTCCTCTTGGCCTGAGGTGGGCAAGCCGTGGTGACATTCTGTGTTCAGACTAAGTGCTGGCCAGCCCTTTACAAGTGGAAGGGTGCCTCTCCTACCACGTCCAGCTGGATGAGCCAAGACAGCCCCCTCGGAAAGACAAGCCTTGCCTCGCAGGGGGATGGCAGCTCTCAGATGAAGCTTCTGAAGTTTGTTTTGTCTTGCTTTCTGCTACAGATAATGGTTACGCCCGCAGCCACCTCCTCGAAGAGAACCTCATTGATTTCTTCGTGCCATTCCTGCCCCTGGAGTACCACCACGTGAAGCTCTGTGCGCGGGATGCTTTCCTGGCCCGTGGACTTCCGTACACCGAGGCAGCCCTCGACGAGGTGGCCAGGACGATGGTGTTTGTCCCTAAAGAGGAGAAGCTTTTCTCTGCACAGGGCTGTAAATCTGTACCCCAGCGCATCAATTACTTCCTTCCTTGAACACCAGGTGGGACTACACCAGTGGTGAAGGTGGTTCTGCACACTGGGAGCTGCTCTCCTTGGCAAGGTCAGGCAAGCAGGTTCCCCAGCCATGCACTTGCACCGGGACAGAGGCTTAACCCCTTGTTACTCCGAGGGCTGTTTGCAGGGAAGGAGGCGCATCCTGCCCAGCCTTGCTCCTGGGATACGGGGACAGCCTGCACTTGGCTCCGTTTGAAGTCTGTCCAGTGTTTAAGTCCTTTCTTTTAGCAGGTAGTAGCCTCAAGTAGTGATTTGGCTGTGCTGACGGGTGCTTTGTCTGAAGGCCTCGGACAGACTGGTCTTGTTGAGACAGTCCAGCAGAAGCCACGTCCTCATCCCTGTCCCCAGTTTTCTCGGTCACTTTACAAGCTCTCAAATTGCACAGACCTGTTTAGCTGGAGTTGTTTGGTTTTTTTTTTTCCCCTCTGCTCTCCTGCACTCACAAGGCATCTGCTGCTCAGGGATGCGCGTGCCAGGACCACGGTTTGTGCAGGGAGGCCCTCACATAGAGAAAATGACTGAATAATCTCCTCCGGAGATTATTACTCTCGCTTTGGAGTGTCCCTCTCTCGTTGGGAGTCTCATTGTATGGAAGCAGCTGCGGGGATGAGGTAAACTTCTGCTGAAATTCTTTTTCTAAGCAGTTTGGTGAAGAGCCTATTTGCTTAATTCCAAAATGAAAAAAAAAGGGGAGACTAATTCCCCTTTCAAGGGCAAAGGGCAGTTGAGGAGGACGGTGGCTGAAGGAACAGGCGGCTGTCGAATTCAGGTTTTCAAGGATGCAGTAAGTGTGGGGGGTTTTTTGTTTTTCTTTTTTTCAGTATGCTGCACGCTGTGTTTTTTTGGCTGGTATCAGCATTACTACTCTAAGGGGCTGTTTGCTGTCTGGGTACTTGCCAGGTGATAAGTATGTTACAGCAGGACCAAAAAATTTCAACAGTGTTACGGGAATCGCTTTGTGACCTCTAGGTCAAAACTCCCTTCCAACACCGCTGGGCTGGGGCGACGAGGTGAAACAGCAGATGCCAAGGACAGGGCTTAGCTCCCTGGACACCCCACGTGCGGACCTTTGATCCGTTTTAAGCTTTGAACCTCTCTGCGGTGCCAGTGATGAGCAGCACGACCTCTGGGAAAAGATTGACCAGACACGCTTACTACTCCTGCAGACTTTGAGTTTTCGTTTCCCTCCGGGCACGCTGCCTCTCTTATCTAACGAGGCTTCAGAGTCCAAGGCAGGAAGACGAGCCAGCTGCTTTCTTACCGCTCAACTGATGCGAAGTCGGTTTAAACTTACCCGTTGTCTCTAGACTGGACCTTAGGGCGGGTGGTAGCATTTCTGAGACTTGTTTTGTGGATTACCTCTCACAAGTGTCAAAGCGAAAGCTTCAGCCTGGGAAGGAGCAGAGGGAGATGTGTCCAGCTGGGGAAGGGAGGCTGCAGCCCCACACAAGGATGCAATTCCGGTTGTGTTCTATAATACCGGCAGAAAGTTGTTGGTTGAAGGTTAGTTGCTTAGAAGGTTCTATAAGCCAGGATAACCTATGATGTTTTTTAAAATACAAAAGAATCTTCAGCTCTCCAGGTTAAACTGGTGCTGTCTAGAGTGGAAGGGGGTCACTTTGTCAGCCATTTCACCAGCGCGGGGCTGGTACGCCGCTGGCGTGCGAAGCAGTTCCTACTGTTACTGATTAAGGAGGTGGTGGTGTTACTAATGAGGGCAACTGCCAAACTGATGACGGAAGCCCTGCACTCCGCCAGGTCGCCCTCGTCTGTGTTTGAGAATTAAGTGAGCATTTGCTTAGGCAACCCCAACAGCAAGAACTGCTTCCTCTGACCACTCCACAGCAACGTGAAATTTGATTTTAAAGGCATAAAGATACTGCTTTTCTTTGCAATCTGGCAGAATTAAATTATTTCTCTCTTTAACAGATTTATAATCATCGTCTCTGTCTTTTCTACCCAAAATAACTAACTTCGGGTTAGTACTGAGCAGCTTCAAATATTCCTTCAGAAAGAAAAGCAGCATACACTAAAGTGTTTTTTGCCAATAAAATATTGCAACCTTTATTTAAAACAAAATGCAAATTGGCAAAACTTTGTGGAACGACAGGCAAAGAGGCCCTTCAAAGGGCCTTATTTACATCAAGTTTAACACTGTTCACAGTCAGACGATAGTGAGAGAATTAAATTAGAAAAACAACCAAAATATATTACAATAACAATTAAAAACAAAAACAGTTGACAACACTGGTAGAGTGACTGGTGATTAACGTGATTCATTTTAATCCATTCCTGCCCTCAATGAGTTCACTACTGATACAAACAGCGTGCCGAGCCGATCGGGCCTCACCTCCCGTGCACAACAGACACATCTGGAAGAACGACCTCCTTTGGTACAGACATTTCTTATCACGTCGGTATTATAAATAAGTCAGGTGTCCCATAACCTCTTACTTGTACCTCCAGGGAATAGGCTGAAGGTTTTGTTCCACGCCACAGGCAACTGGAGCGCAACCCCGGTGCCCATCCGCGCTAGGTGGTGCCGCTCACACTGAAGCGGGAGGTTTCTGAGCATGCCGTAGTCGCTACCCTTCCGTTTTCCTGCCAGCTACTGAGGAGCAGCAGGGCTGGGCTGAGCGCTTCGCAAGAGGAGACAGCAGCCTGCTACATTTGCAAAAAAGACCTTCTGGATTCATTAGTGCTTGTCACAGCTGCTGCTGCCCAAGAGCGCTGACAAGCAAAATGCGGCGCGCCTCGGCTGCTAGGGAAGCCCGCCCTAGGTAAGCGGCACAGACATCGGGGCCTGGATTTCTTTACTCCGCCTGCATGGCGTAACCCATCCTACCTGCTCGCGCGCCCGCTGCCTTTCGGGGGGGGCTGCTCTCTTAACAGAGCAGCTTTGGTGCAGCTCTTGCCCCACGCTGTGGGGTTTAGTTCCTGCTGCCCGCAGAGGGCGGTGTGCCATAAAGCTCTTGGGTAAGCACACCTGACGGGGTGTCGACACGCAAGGCCAGTGGTGCTCAGGAGAGATGTCCTGTGTCAGGAGGACGGGAACAGAGCCCCCCCGTTGTGTTCTGCATCAGCAATGCCGCTCCATCCAATTCCGCTTTCCCAGCAGCTGAATTTGATGCAGTCCCAAGACCCAGGCTCTTAATTCAGCTTCACCCCTGTCCACACTAATGAAAAATATGATTAAATCGAAGTGCTGCCAGACAGCCGGGTGCACCACTTCGGGGTTAAAAAGGGTGTACAGTGCAGAAGAAGAGAGAATTGCACCTGTGAGTCAGCTAATTCCCCACAGCAGCCAGGAAGAGAAAGTGCCCCAACTCGCTCGCGTGAGCACATGCTCTGTGCTTGGCATTACCAGGCCCCGCATGATGCCATCCCGTTGCAAAGATGACTACTTCAAATTCTAGCCTGTACTAGTGCAAGTGAGAGCCCAGCTGCAATTGCATCCAAGGGCTTCTGATAGTGTTGAGGAAAGGAAACCCAACAGGAGTTTATTATGCCTTGTCCCTACCCTAAACAGTGGGGCAAGAGGTGCTCTTCACTGGGACAAATAACGGGGCTTCAGCATCCTTAAGTTACTTTGAACATACTGTGCAAGGCTGAAAGCAGAGAGCTGCTACAGTAGAGACCTTTAAGGCTGAACAGAAAGCCAAACCTACCAAAAAGGAGAAGGAACGGTAACAACTTTAGGAGCACGGCTGTAGAAGGAAGAACAACTGAACGGTGATTTACAGCAGAACCAGCTTTCCCAGATACCATCCTTTTGCTATCCTGCCAGTGGGCAGGGGAGAATTCCAGTTTGGGAATAAAACACTGCTGGGCAGCAGAAGCAGCAGCAATTCTGCAGCATCCTATTTAGGGGGGAAAAAACCAAAACCTTAGTGTCAAGTCAGCACTACCTCTGCCACCATCTACCTACCCGATGTGAGACAAGAGGTAAGAGCAGGGAAAGCACCCTCCGTAGGAGTGACAACAGGCAAATCCCCGAATTCCACTGTTCTGTGTTTTCCCTCCGCTAGAGGGATCAGAACTGAGCAGGCTTCTGTGTTGCCCACAGAGGTTGTGGAGTCTCCGTCCTTGGAGATACTCAAAAGCCGTCTGGACGCAGTCCTGGGCCTGAGCAGGGGGGCCAGACCAGATGACCTCCAGAGGTCCCTTCCAGCCTCAGCCATGCTGTGACTCTGTAAAAGCAGATGTCGCTTCAGCAGTGTCACTGCCCTGTCCCACCGCCCATCACCTCGGCCGTGGGGGAGGAGAAGCCAGGCGGCATCTGAAAAGAAGTGGGGGATGACCAGTGGAGGGGAACCAGTCCTTCCTTGGGGCACAGTTAGTTTCTTCAGAAAGGGCTGAAAGAGGGGAGTTTTAGTACTTAGAAATTCCAGGAATTGTTTGCTATTCTATCGCTTTTGCTGGAGCTTTTCTGGATGACTAGCATTCAGGAAAAGAAAAAGGCTTTTTTTCAAAATACTCATCAGAACTGGATTAAGATCCTTAAAATTTTCTGGTTAAAATACCTTTCCCCTGAGAATCACTTCAGTTTCAGTCCGTTTGTCCTTGGCTGAGTAGTAGGACAATGATGAAACCACGCGATTGTCTGCCAGGGCAAGCAAGACCTGCCGTTCTGCCCCGAAGAAAGCTCCCATACCTTTTCAACCCTTTTGATTGTTTAAAAGGCCGTGTGAAGCAATACCACAAGCCGCCTTCCCTTTGCAGGTCACCTTTCCAAAGGCAGTTAGCTTGGCGCGCAGCCATACACACCTTCAATAAAGATGACTGAAAGAGATAAGGTAAACCACAAAAGCCCTCAGTAAAGTCTACGAGATAGCGGTTTGGTACGCTGCCCTACAGCTGAGCGTTGCTGTGGAAGAGCCCCGGCGCGGCCTCCCCCGCCCCACTGACCTGAGGGCTGCGGAGGAGCCTGGGCAAGCTGAACGTCCTATGGCAGAACTAGAGAGCAGGCTTCGTTGGGTGGGCTTGCTACTGCTAAGTCAGGATGAGCAACCCATGCTGTACTTCCAGGTGTCTCCACTTGGGTACTAGCTCATGGGAGTAAAACTGACTCGTCGGAATAATTAATTCACTTTAATGCCTGTCAGCTGGGGGTGGAGGAGTTGCCTTTTTTTTTTTCCCCTCACCATTTCACTCACTTGGACAGTGTAGCTCACGTGGTCCATTTTACCTCGCATACTGCTCCACCGGTGCACATTCATGCATCGTGACACAACTTTGTTTACCATAGACCAGTAATACAATGAGGCTTCTCAGACACCAGCCCATTTCTAAAGACTTTCTCGGGCCACTGTCTCACTATGCTGCATGGAAAAAACAGGGACACTCACTGAGACAGCCCAGCCTACTTCCAAGCACCAACAGGGCAATGCTTCTAGACAGAAATGGAAGAAGTGCCCATCTTCTAAATCCACACCTGTGCCCTAGCTCAATTCTAAATGCTCAAACTAAAAGCAGCACAGTCACACTTTAAAAACAAGTTAAAAAAGCATTTTAGCCAAAAATAAAAGATTTAAGGTGCAAAGCAAGCCAGATCCTCTATCATCACCAACAGTGTGAAGTGAGCAGCAGCATGCAGAGTAACGTGTATTTGGAGCCAGGTATCAGGCCTGTTTTCTTCTTCTCTCAAACCAAGGGTTGGTTAGTTGAGGCCTTCCCACTTGCCAGTACATTTACATCTCAGGGAGTTGTGCGCATATGCAGAAGAAAGACCAGCGTTTTGAGGCCACAACAGCACTAGGACCAAGGAAGACAACTTCAGCCACACAACTGCTTTCATTCCGGGATTGTCAGTAGGCATCAGACATCAGAGACCATAACCCAGCAGCAGCTCTCTGAGGCAGAGCCGTAACGCTTGTCACGGCTTAGGCAGAGGAGTGCGCGGTATATGTGCATGTTCCCTATGCCACAACACGAGATTCTGGTCTAGCCTTTAAAATACAGGAATAAATAAAAAAAAAGATGGCCAAGATTCCCCTGTGTGCTGACATACATAGTCACCTTCATACGCAGGGAAGCTGAAAGCCTGTGAGACCAATAAGCACTAGAACAAATCCCAGGAAGCCGTCAGTGTTATGCCCAGAGTAGGGACGGTCCAGGGAATCCTGCAGCAGCAAGGGCACGTGGTGGGCAGGTGAGGCTGTACTTTCTGGCTCTCCAGCTGGCCCCGCAGCGCTGTGACTGCTAAAGGAATGTGGAGAACAGCCAGGGGTGGCGGAGGCTCTGCCTTACCTACCATGGGTCCTCAAGGTGATGAAATTGAATTGGGGAGTCAACCTGGTAACAAGTTAAAAACAATCTAGAGCTTAAAAAAAAAAAAAACAACAAAAACCACCCACCCCAATAACAACACTGGCAAGTTGTGCAAGAGCCCCAAACTACTCACAAAAGACCATCAAGCAGCACCCGTGCTAGACCACTAGAAATAGGTATCAACTGAGTGAAGGCTGTGTGGTGGGGAAGGGGGTATTCCAGTGATAAGTCTGCCCAGCATCCCTGACACTTCTGATACAATGAAGATGAGAACATGTGGTAGATGAGATGGACAGGAAGAAAAAGGGATCGTTTCATATATTAACTAATTTTGCAGTTCTCATTACAGCAGCAAACAGCGCTGTGGAAGTAAGCCATCTGGGCTAGTGCATCCACCTCCAGCAGCTCTGAATACTGTCAGTGCATTAGACCTTTCCCCCAACCGCACGCAACCTCCCCCTTCAGAGCTACTCCAGCTCAGACTGCTCAGCAGTTGGTACCAACGGAGCCCCAGGGCCTTTCCTTTGCCTTGTCAGGAGGCCAAAGCATGCGTTAGTGCAGAAAGGGGAGGATCTGTACAGCCGAGTGGCCCGCAGCCACTCCAGTACTCCAGCTATCACACATCAAACCATCCTTCCCAGAGCAAGAACCTGCTATCGATTCTCCTGCCTCTCCAAGGGAGGAGCAAGGAACTTCCTTCCCTTGCCATACCAAGCAGATCAGACTGACCAGGTAGGGACCACTGCTTGACGTTCTGCCCCTTACAGCTTTAACCCACACTCTCCATCCCCATTTTTTGAGATGAACCTGTAAACGTGAGGAGAACTCAGTGATCTGAGGTACTTCACATACTCAAGTATCAGTCTTTCCTTTTGAAAGCATCAGTACAGAAAAAAAGTTCCCCCCCCCTCCCCGCATGTATTTCTCTTACCCAGATTGACAGTAGCTACCTTTGCACCACATCACTGATTTCTTGGACACATGACAATAAGTTATTAAGGACAGGGTTTGCCCCAGGGACGCTAGCAGCTGTTGAAGACACCTGCAGTTCCTGCAGGCTGAGTTCCAGTTTGCTCACGGCTTCCCGGAAGGCAAATTTGTTGCGTGTATGCGGGATGCAGTCCACATAGCCTGAGCAGTAATCCAACAGCTGGTGCCCTGTGTCCACCAGCTGGCTGTTTGGTGTCGGCTCGGCGATGGCACTCGAGAGAAGATCTGCACACTCCAGCAGCGCTTCCTTGCTGATTTTGTCTGCAGAGATTTTCTCAGCCGCCTGTTTGGTCTTTCTTAGCGCTACTTTTGCGCCAGCCGTGCCGTTGGCCATTTTCACTGGGGAGGTGGAAGACGATGACAGAGGCACTTGAGGCGGAGGCATCACCGGCCTCCCAGATTTTCCACCAACAGGTGCTGCTGCTGCTGCTGCCTTCTTACTCCCTTCGCTTGATTCCAGTCCGTGCTGCGCTCCCGCCACATTGCTCAGCTCTTCTGCTGCATCTGAGCAGGCAGCTGGCTGTTGAAGGAGCCTCATCACTGGTGGTGGAGGTGGAGCACACTTTGGTTTTACCCGTCTGGGCCGGTCCCTGTCGCCGGAAGAAGTGACCTGATGCTCAGATAAGAGCTTAAATTTATTACCCTGAGAGTCTGTGCCAATGAGCTGCACATCTGCTGGAGTGTGTTTTAGAGTGGGTGAGATTAGGACTGGCACTTTGTGGTTATGAGTGGTTGGAAGTATTGCTGCAGCCTTTACTGGAGATGACCACCCCGGTCTCTCACCATCCTCAAGGGCCCCTTGCCGTGGGCCGCTGTTTTTTTCTTTGCCCTTAGGAGCTGCTGCTAGCCCTGGACCCTCCTTTTCTTCCGAGCTGGAGGGGGTTCGGAAAGGGAGTGCTGTGGCACCCCTCGGCAAGAGTTTTGCTTTTGGTCTCTCTCTGGTCAAAGCAGGGCCTTCTTCAAACCTTTTGGGAAGCAGTTCATTGGCCCTCCCCGTGCTCTCATCGGGCTGAGAGGAGGTGGACACTGTCCGTTCCAGCTGGATTTTTGACCTCTGGGAATTTCTGGGAAGGGTCATTGCCATCCTATCCTGCTCTGGAAGCCCTGAGGACATGGAAGATGTAGAGTTTGACCTTGGAAAAGGCTTTGAAGCTTCTTCATTGCCAGTGGGTTTTCCTGCTCGTAAACCCAGTGTCTTTTTAATCAAGCGTGGCGTAAAGAAACCAGTGATGCCCGACCACCCACCACCAGTGCTTACGCCCCCACCACTGCTGGTACCAGTGCCATCATCGTTGCAGAAGGTCCTCTGCACAAAGCCCCCACCATAGCACTTGGGTGGCGCCAGGCTTGCGTCCTGCTGCGTGGGAGCAAAAGAGAACCCGTCCACGTGCTGCAAGGAAGCAACAGATGAAAAGTTACCCGTCAGCTCGTATTTCTTATGGGGTTGATTCTCCATCTCCCGGAAGGAACTGCTGCGCTTGGGAGGTGTGGGAGCATTCCTCTTCTTCATAAAGGAGCTGAAGAAGCCACCTTTTCTGTCCCTGGTGAAAGTGGTCTCTTTGGCATCCTCCAACAGGCTGCTGGGTGACTTGTCCCTCTGTTTGCGAGGCAGTGCGGGAGACCCACTTGTTGGCTGTGTGCTTCTGATAAAACCTAGACAGAAGAAACAAGCATGAATCTGCAAAATCAATTTTGATTCCCACCTCCTTGCCCTGCAGTGGGCTTTATGGGCCTGGCGTATTTAGCTGCCCAGGTTCTGCAGAGATGGACTGAGAGAAGTTAGCACTTTTATATTTGTGCGAGGCTGGTGTGATTTTTTTTTTTTTTTTACTTTTTTCCCCCCACTTCCGCGTGCATGACTTGTCTGTGGTCTATACTGAGGAGGCCACTTAGGACAGAGTTCAGGAAAAAGTGAAGTTGTTCTTTTCTTCCAGTTTCTTATTCCTTTCCTGTCATTTTTTCCTCCTTCCCCAAATACCACAAGTATAAAAGAAAATCCCTTGTTGCACTGTCAACTTTAGTTTTGAAGCTGTCATTTAAAAAAAAGCAGCAAAACTAAATTTAAAAGAAAAAAATACAGTAGTATTTACTAAAAGAACATCGAACAAACTGCAGTGTTTTTGATTTGCTAGTAAATAACTGGGCTGCTGAGGTGGCCAGCAGCCCTAATGACAGAGCGGTGCAAAGCACCTTCCTGTGTCACGTTGTTCTGTCATCTTCTGTTTCTCTGGCAATTTACACCAGCAACAAGCCAATCCCAGAACACGTGGCCTCACTGCCGCCATCCCAGTGCCCGTACCTGGTGCTGAGCTGGAAGCCGAGTGCTCCACAGTATCTTGTGTTCCTTCAATGTTCTCCTTGTTCTCTGCCTGTTTCTTCAGTGTTCTAGTCTTGGAGGGAAGCATGGGTAACCGGGGCAAGTAAGGAACTATGGATGAGGAGGAGGCTGTTCTTCCAAGCTCCTCTGCTACCTCTGTAAGGAAAAAAAAAACAAAACCAAAAAGGGAATAGCTGGAACAAAGACTGGCAGAGGAAGAGGAAAAGAAAATCTGGGTCTTTACTGCAAACCCACACTGGCAAGAAGAGATACATGACTGAGAAATACATAGTTTATGGATTTAGTTTTTGCTCAAGTCCAGAGGTATTCAGGGTAAGATGTTTTTCATAATGCTGTCAAACTCATTTACATCTTTATAAATTCAGAAAAAAAAAAAACAAAACCAAAAAAAACAGTGGTAGGATCTGTACGAGAGGTCTCGTATGAATCTAGCTCTCTGCTGGGTTAAGGGTTGCTCAAGAGCTAAAGCCAGCACCGAATGCATTTGCCTCTGTTTTTAATTAAGGTGCCTCCTGTTGATGCTGCTGGGATACCCCCAAAGTTGTGTCCTCTCTGGATCTGCATCTAAGCTGCTTTGCTTGAGGCAAAGCACTGCACCTCCCTGTTAGAAAAGAAGACTGCATGTTTCCTTCCCAACGTCAACACAAGGTATGTGATTAAAAAAAAAAACAAAAAACAAAACAGAAATAAACCTACAACCTCCTGGCCACACCCAGGCTGGCATACGTGTGGGTCACTTGATGTGCCTATCATAGATCCGCCCTGGTAGAATTTGATCTGGTGCGTTTTTTCTGTAGTAGGGAAGTGGATGGATCAGCTTCGTATTTAATTTAAAAATTCAGAAGATGCTCAGACATTTCTGCTTGTCTGCTGTCTAGTATCACACTTCTCACCGGTATTTACCTCCTAGTTGATTATATTTCAGAGCTGAGTTGCACAGAATTGCTCCTAGAAGTAGCTAAGTAGAAAATCCAGAGATTAAGGCATACTTTTTAAAAATGAAGGCTAGTAGAATAATATTTCATGACTAATTGCTGCAGTCAGCAAGGGACTACAATATGCACACATCTTTCTCTCTCAGCATCACTCACTGTTCCTTACTCTTCAATCTAGGAAACAAGAGCCTTCCTCTAACAGAGGAGACAATATTCTTTAAATTAACTCTTTAGCATCTTAGTGCTCAAATGAAACTATACTGTCCCCTGCACTGGAATATGTCTACAGCTTATTCAGTATTTGTGCAGCAAGTAAGAGAATGTATTTACCCACTTATGGTTAAGAAATTAAGTAAGGGATGAAGCTTCATCACAACCTCCACTGCCAGCAGGTGAGCCTTAAGGGCCCTTCCATAAGACACAGCACTCTGGGGGATAACCTCCAGTACTGCTTCAGAAACAAAGCAACAGGGGCTCTCACCCTCTGAGATGCTCGAGTCGTGGAACATGGTTTCAAAAGCCTGATGGGTCTCAGCAAAGGAAGGTCGGTCTGGTGGGTTCCACTTCCAGCCTGCAATGTGAGAAAGCAGAGTAAGTCTCAGTGCCTGAAACGGGTAGGAGATAAATTTTTATTCTGTCCAAGGAGACAGAAAATACCTAAGCTTTCTCAACTGTAGTCAGACTCTGATCTCCTACTATTAAACAGGCTTCAGAGTCATTCACAGATATTAATTCATAGCAGCAGTCAGTCACCCTACCGTATCCTTACAAACAGATCTTGAGAGGAAGGAACCAGTTCTAAAAATCCCAGCTCTTTGCCAGCTCCACAGGTTTTTCTGATCTCCCTTATCCCTCTTTCTGAATTTTTTGGGCAAAGGAGAATTCCGTGTTTGCTGCCCTGGCTGTCTGGACTGAACACATCTAGCGTGGTCACAGATAACTGTGTGTGCAAAGCTCCAGGCAACATTCTGCTTACATGCTCTTAATACTGAAATTCAGGCAAAGCCTTCCAAAAGGAGAACGCATGCACCCTGTGGGGGAAAGAGAAAGAGAGTGCATTGATCTAAGATGGAGCTTGGAAAGTTATAGAACGGTATGATCACAAAAAGTGTAATTTCTGTAGTTACAACGCTGCACTAGGGGAATGTATTCTGGAAGCACTGTCTGTTGATATCACCATAGGGTCTGGAAAGTGACTGGCAGTCTGCTCATTTTGGGTTGCATTAATATCCTATGAATTCCCTGCTTTTGGGCTTTCGTCAGCTTCCTGAAGGTTTTTTGAAGCAATATCCTTCATCATCACCCAGCTTCTTTGTTTCATCACTGAAGTTCACCCTGAGTTTCTTTGACATGTTGAGGATCAGGCGTCACCGGAGACAGGCTGTAGAATGGCCTCTTAAGCCCTGGTTTGCCCATCTTGTACATGAAGGGCCACACAGACTGCCTGGGTTAGCAGCAAGGAGTCTCCTCCCACCCTGGTCACACTGACAGGGTCTCTCTGCTCAGAGCTGCTTACCTGACTCAACGGCATGGCCTGGTTTGCTCCCTAGTGTCTTCGGCCTTTTGCCCAATATACTCTCTGCTCTTGTGGGACTGGAGGAGATGGGCAGTGCTCTTAAAGTCTGTTGCTCTCTTCCTGCAGCACACTGTATGTTCTGGCCTTTTATTAGTAGATTTTCAATTTGTTATGGAGCATTAGGGAGCTTTTCGTGGTGTGCTTGGAGAATGCGTTTTGTGCAACCTTGTCAACTACTTGTCTCTCGCACAGGTGCTGTGTTTGCAGAGGACTAAATTTCCTTCTAACTTGGTGATTCCATAGTAAGAGTCCTACTGACAAAATACCAGTACAATTTGCCACAAAGTGCTATCTAGCTGTACTCAGAGATGACAGTTTTTGAGAGTGACTTCTTGTTCCTTAGAGACTACCCTCATTTTGCATCAGTAACCAGGTACATCACAGGTGATGGGGCCTTTTCCACATTAGCTAACAAAATTGCACACAAGAAGCAAGGACTTCGGAGTTAACTACAGTTTTCTCCCACCCGTCCCAGGCTTTGTCCCCTAAACTGGAAGAAGATACTCACATGCCCTCATCAGTTCGTAAACCTTTGGAGGGCACCCCTCGGGTTGTTCCATCCGATAGCCCTTTTCCAGCAGATCATACACCTGAGAGAGGTCAATGCCTGGGTATGGGGACATCCCATAGGTAGCAATTTCCCATAACAGCACCCCAAAGGCTGCAAAAGGAGAAAAACAAAATTCCTGGTCATAAGTCTGCCCTCTTTTTGTGTTGCTCATTACACTGTGGCCTGTACTGCAGCTTGAGGCAGCATCTCTCTCTTGCAGGTATTTCAGGCCAGCCTAGGTGAAGACATGGCAGGCTAAAAATGCTATTGATTCATGAAGCTGTGGCCTGGCGTGTGACTGTCTCCTCCCCAAGCCAGAAAGCAAGTTACTGTCTAGGCTGGCAAAGAAAACCAAAATGAAACAGAACAGACCACTGAAGTGGAGTCTCCTTACCCCACACGTCCGATTTGATTGAAAAGGTGTTATAGGCCAGGCTCTCAGGAGCAGTCCATTTGATTGGGAACTTGGCTCCAGCATGAGCTGTGTAGGTATCTCCAGTCATAAGTCGACTTAAGCCAAAGTCAGCCACCTTCACCACATGATTTTCTCCAACTAAGCAGTTCCGTGCTGCCAGGTCCCTGCATAAAGGAAAAAAAGCAGACTCTGTTACTGGAGCAAGAGCAGGGCTTTTGAATATAGTCGGCTGCTTGCATGGCCTGTCCCTCTCTTCTGAATTGGGAAGCACTCTCTTTATACAGCAGACAGAGGGAATGTGAGCTTTGCTCTGAACGGCGTCAGGCACTGAGTGGACTTACTCTTAGGAGCAATAAGGTAAGTGAGAATTAGGGTTCACTCTTTAAATTCTATTAAATTTCCAGTAATGATGGCTGTTATGATGAGAAGTTTATGTTTCCTAAGAATAGTATGAGATCAGCAGCTCATCACATACTGGTTACAGCTTTATGGCACAGCTTTATCTGACTGGATTAAAATAGGACATTGTGGTTGACAATGTCAGGCACAAAGGGGGTACATCGGAACAGGACAACGCCAACTTCCATAGCTGTCAGGCAGTCAGGCACAAGATTGTAAGTCTGGTATGAAAGTCACGGGGAGAAGGAATTGCAAGACAGTATTGAAACCAAAACAGCCAACGGATGTTTTTCACACCCAGTGTGAAAAACCTAAATCTGGAAGAAACATCCCCAAAAGGAAGAATTCCTGAGCCACCATGCTGGTGGCCCGTTCATCATTGCACTCTGAGGTTGTACCAGCTCAATGTGATTTTACCCACCTGTGAATGAAGTTCTTCTTCTCCAGGTACTCCATAGCAGAGGAGATCTGGGTGGCCATGTAGAGTAGCACAACAGCACTCACTTCCTCCCGATTGCATTCCCGTAAATAGTCTAGCAGGTTCCCATATGGCATGTACTCTGTCACAATGTAAAAGGGCGGCTCCAGGGTACACACACCTGGCAGCGAGGAGGAGGGAGCACGTGAATAAAGCTTCTCTTTCTTACCGCTATTCCTGATTTAATAGCCATTTGTCGCATTTTGTATCGATGAGAGTTTCTCTGAAAAGTTATGACTTCCATCTACAAGACTCAGATCAATGCAGGCCAACTTAGAAGTCAGTGCTTCTATCTATTTATCTGTCCATCCACTTCATGGGTAGAGAGAAACATGTCTATCATCGCTATTCCTATATAACATACATAAAAGAGTAGTTCTGTTCTTTGGAGGGTTACAGAATGAAATAGGAGTTATTTTGAACATATATGACTTGCTTTTCTTCTCCTCTCCTCCTTCATAAAGCTAAAGAGTGGCCAGCTGGAAGTAGGTACCTGTCAACGGGCAAGATTTCCAGACTGAAATGTCACTACAGAGTAATGCGAAGCACTCCCATGTGTGCTAGCTGGGTAAGCGATCAGCACGGTGGGACCTGCTCCTAAAGCAGCATTCTCACACATTCCTCAGATGACTACTTGCTACAGTCATTGCAATTATGTACAAAGTATGTATTAGCGGAGGAGGAGGGCAACAGGATACTCGTGTCAAATCTCTGTGAGCTTCCACAGCAGCACTGCTGAATGCCTGTTCATACCGTTACGCACATACAGGAGTAAAACACAACTATGCTGTGCATCAGAAAGAGCAAAAATGCATCTCTTTGATGACAAATCTTTTAGTCTCTACTCCTGGAACCAGGCAGGGCTGGGCAGACACTTCATCTGCGCCAATTTTTTAAATGGGTACAGAATAGTTGCCATTATTAAAAGCCTTCACATTCTTCACATTTCTCCTTTCATCCTAGGCTTGGCTTGACAGCTTTGCTCCTAAAAGCAGCAAAGGTCCAGAGGCAATTAAACGCTAGTAAAGGTTTAGGGTGTCTCCTTAAGAATCTTTGTCCATGTAGAATTAACAGCTATGCAGACTATTTAATAGTGATCATCATATCATGCATTTGCCAGCGAGACAAACAGGGCACAACCAAGCTGTAAAGCCTGCAGATTTCTTCCATTCATGTGCTGTTTGATCCAACTTGCATCTCTGCTGCCTTGATCTCATGTACTTATTTGGTGATACACACGGTCCCTTACAGCAGCAGCGATCTGGTTGTCTTCTACTTAATTATGGACTGATTTGTTCTATTTAGTGCAGCTTCTTCTACCAACGTCTCTGATTTGAGAAGTATGAAGAACAGTATTTGTTGTGCTTCCAACGTATTTTTTTTTCTTTCACTTTGAATTTTCTTATATTTTTGTTCTGTTCTAATCAGAAAAGTAAGTCATGGAAAATAATTTTGTAAATCTGACTTACCGCAGCAGAAAAGGAATCTGACCCTGATAACTGAACCCTGGAGCAAGTCTAAGGACAAGGGTAACAGGCTAACAGGAGGCTGATATTACAAACTTTTATATAATGCATAGTTATGCCTCAACAGCAAAGTTGTCTACTAATGTACCTGACTCTATTTGATGTTTTATTTAAAATTAGTGTCTCTTGGCTCCAATACTACATAAAGGAGTAAGCTGTCAAAAATACTGCCCCATAACCTGACCTGATTCAAAGAGTTATATAAATACAGAAAATCTGCCACTGCTTCTAAACAAGTCAGATTTCACTTTGGTGGAAACTCAAGCAAGAGCAGAAGGAGCAAGGTATTTCACTAACCTAACAACTGCACTAGATTTGGGTGCTTGATCTCCTTCATCACAGCAGCTTCTTTCAAGAACTCTTCCACCTCCATGGTATCTTCCTGGATAAACAAGAGAGGCAAAAGAAGGGAAAATTTATCTTCATGACCAAGGTCTGCTTAACACCACATATGCAAGCTGAATATAAACGATAGCATCCTTATCTCCATTCTGCTGTTTTGGCTTTTACTAAAGCAAAATATATATAACAGCCCTGAAAAGCTGCCTGGCTGGCCTGCAGCATGGACGAGCGACAGATCTGCAGTCGCCAGAAAGTGCCAGGCATTCTTGTTTGGTAGCTATTGTGGCTACCAAAGCAGTTGTGGCTGGTGAGGGGAAGACTCTCAGGATCACTGACTTCGTTCCCCTGCCTGACTATAAAAATTAAGCTTGAAAGCTCCCTTACTTAGGGGTTATGTAGAATTGTAGCTGTTAATGTTGAAACAAACAGAAGGCTTTGAAAAGAACGATAAATGGAGAAGCTGAATTTTTCCAGGAGTAGGGGAGATGTTGCAGAGGGTATTTCCAACACCTTTCATTTCTTAAAGCTTCCACAGCTCTTCTGAGGGAAGGGAAGTGGACTTGGTAACCATTTCTACTGATCTGACTTGGACATGCAGTTCCTGCAGGAGCTCGCTGGGCCAAAATTCCAAATTGTTTCTAAGCCGCATGCACTGGTGCAAGTTTGATAAGCTAACTTTGTTCTGCAAAGCCGCTCTCAAGCATAGATTTTATGCAGATCAGCACACTCCCTTTTCTGATATTCACATCATGAGGTGGTGTAATTGAGAACATTAAAATTTCTTTACCCTTATCATAAAGGGTGACCAAATGAACAGTGCACAACAATCTGAAAACTCACCTTTAATGTTTTCACAGCAACTGTAAGATTGTATTTCTTCCAGACACCAACGTACACCTCGCCATACTGCCCTCCCCCAAGTTTGTGCTTCATGGTGATATCAGTCCGCTCCATCTCCCACTTGTCGTGGATGGGGGACACTCCATAGACAGTGGGCTTATTGCACTTGGGTGCTGGGTAATGCAAAGTTGTCACCAGTCCATCTGCTACTGTTGAGTGATGGTGCACTAGCTCTGCTAGTGTGCTGAAACGGCTTTCTGCTGTCACGTATACCTGTTAAGAATGAACCAGGAAGCTACTTAAATGAAGGTAGCTGGAAGCTTTCAGTAACAGTGGAAAATAGGTACAGCAGAAACATTCTAGCAGGTTTTTAAATTAAAAAAAAAAAGAAAAAAAAAAAAAAAGGTAAGGCAACTAGACTTTAGAGTATTCGTTCTCTTGTTGTTGGGGAAATGGATATTAATCTGTGGGATTTTTACCTGGAGAAGGCAGCTAGATATAAGCTATCACTTGAGAGCAGTGCTGTCTCCTGCCTCGTGCTTTACAGGACTAGAAACCGGAATTCTTGTAGCCAAGTGCAAGGCCAGTTTCTGCATCACTCAACACATGGTACTGCTATTTGATCAAGGTTTCAAAATGCTGATCTTACCAAAGCTGACTTACCAAAGCTCTGCTTGTTCTAAACAGAACAACGGAAAGAGATCACTACATCAAACCACAACTGCTTTGCTCCCTAGCTGCTTTCAGCCAGGATAAGTACCGTCTGCACTTCTTCCAAAGTGGTGTTTGGCGAGTTACCACCGAATTCTTGGCATACATCTTTTTTTTATATTAATCAACCAGTGGACCTGTTTTCTCTCACATACACCCCGCTCTTAACAGTCTGCAACTTGAGATTCTGTACCACCTCTTAACTAATATCCTTATTTCCTCTCCCCACAGCATTATCCAGAGATCCTTACCTTTCCATCTGAGGTGGTGTTGATCCTGTAGTGGTAAACACGTCCTTCGTACCTGAGCGAGATGGATAGCTGCCCTGGGCTGCTCTCGCTTTCACGAACCAGGAAGCTGCCATTGATGAGACTGCTCAACAGATACTCTGCTGCACTGCGTGACACCGGCCCATGGTACCATGAATGCTTTTCCAGGCTGTTCACTGGTGTGATGTAGTTGCTTGGTACCCAGCCCTGCCCGTTCTTCGAACGTACCTCGCTCCATTCACCGTTCTGGTTGTAACCCAGGACTCGCAACTTCTCACCTATGACCGGAAAGAAAAAAGCAAAAGAAGCACAGTGCAGGGAGACACTCACCATCAGCCGACTACGCCTGGGTTTGTTGCTTAACAATAAAAATCTGCAGCAGTGATCTTATAACTAAACTGCTATATATAAAGTATTTATGAAGTAAAGTTTCAGACAGAATACCTAGGATACTGTTCCCTAATTTACTGCAGTGTGATCGATGAACTCAAAAAGCTTCCCGTAGTCCAGCTTTTTAGACTAGAAAGACTTTTTTTTCTTGGAGGGATGAGGTTTGTCTCCTTCTTGAAGCCTTAAATGGCATGTGATTTAAAATACTTCTGCAGCAGGTCATATTCTGATCTATGTACTGAACAGAAATAGAAAATCTCTGTGCAATTCTCAATTCTTGATTTCTCAGTTGAAAGTGCTGAATTCTGTTATCACCAATAATGTAAAGGTTTTCCTCTGCCCCTCCCTAAAATAGGTGTCTCAATGGGCCACTGATTTGAGGAGCTGAGAACAGGAAAAACTGTAGCTGGGCTAGATTGTTTGGCAGTGTTATACAAAGCTGTGTCTGTACTAGGAGAACTGCCCGGCAGGTGTCTCTCCAACACAAGTGAGAGAGAGACCGTCTGCTTATAATCATCAGTTTATAGAATAATCTTCTCTAACTGCACTCATTCCTAATCCTATCTGGAGAAGGATTCTGCTTTCTATTTTCTATTGCTAAGTTTTCAACCTAGTAGCTGCTCTGCGATTCAGAACCTTACCTTTGGTGATGCTGAGCGTGTTGTCACCGCTTGCTACAAAATCGTAAAGTGCAACAAAGAGATTGGGATCGCTCTCAGTGGCTCCAAGCAGGTTCTCCTTGGAGCTCCATCTGATGGCTTCATTCAGTGCCTGGGGTTCAACATCGCAACCATAGGGGCGGTGCAGGGCCTCTGAAGAAAGAACAGAAGAGGAAATTACTTTGTGTACAATTGTAAACAGATCAAAACCCAGTGTACAGCAGAGTGAAGCTCCTGCTGCACGATATGCTCTTCATGGCAAAGGAACACCACGTCTGCACATCTTAGATCGGTGGTTTCCAATACCCACTTTGCTGACTCTTGATTCTATAGTTTACTTCTAAAGGGGGCTAAAGAAGGTCATTAACTTCCTATATACCAAGCAGCGCATATAACATTTCTATTTAACATTTATTATATATTTTTATTTATATACACCTCTATTTTAAATTATTTAGGCATTCACAGATTGAAAAATAAGGGAGAAATTAAAAGTGTGGGGTTGTTTTTTTTTTTTGTGAAGTAGTGAAGGAAACCTTTCAACGCTGAAATGTTGTATTTTACGTCTTTATTGTTTCTGTGGCTGAAGTAGATAGCCTGGATCTGAAACCAACATTACAAATACAGGTAAGAGACTGAATTATGACACAAATGAGATCTATAGGTTGGGACAGTAACTGATTCAGTATTAGCAGGAA